ATTACTATTACAACATACCTGCGGCCGTTAGACAAACAATTTCTATCGTTTCGGCCAAATATAATATTTATTGAATAAGCGCCTATACGTAATTGAATTACCATTAAACACACAAAACGAGAGCAGACACACAGAACCAAAGAAATAAGCAATTATTTCAGGTCTTTCTTATAAATTATATACAGATCTCATCAAATATTAATGCAAACGGTCGCTCTATCTCACAGAGATGAGACTGGGTACTGTATAAAAAGGACTGGAATAAAGTACAGGGTTTATCATATTTTAGTGAATTAATTTTGTAATTCGTTTAATTTTGTAAGATTCGGAGGATTTTTTTTTCAAAAGTTATACAAGAAATTATTCAAAATTTTCCATTACATTTCTACAGAAACTGTTTATACGAAATATAATTATTTTACATATTCTATACATTCTGCCATAAAAGTTTGAAGTTGTGTGAATAAGTAATTATTTGAAAAGGTTGTTTTTACTTCCATGCATCCTCAAATATCTACACTTGCTTAAACTCTATAGTAATGAACTCAAAATGTTCGAAATAAACTTTTCCAAAATCTAAAAAGCAATTAATAATTAATAAAAAGTTACGAAGAAAGCATCTCATCAATATTTTATATTTTTGAAACAGTTGACCAAGCAGCTTTTTGTTTTATGATTTATTTCTGTTAAACAATAAAACTCTATTTTAATTTACATTTTAAAGAGAGTATGAGAGATTTTTTTTTGTTTGTGATATTTTTGTTTCTATAAAGGTTAAAAAAATTGAGATTGATCATTTAAAAGTAAGAATGTTAGATGTACTGAACACACAATTTATCATACCATGTTCTTTATCAATATAATATTCAAAAATGTGTAAATATGTAAAAAAATGAAAGGGCTATTTCTGGTCCATTCTTGTTCCTTAAACTTACTCCTATCAATAATCGGTTGATCAAGAGACTTTTATATTTGTAAATTTATTTTCCATTTCTAGAGAGATTCATTGTTCATTTCGGACAGTTTTAATTCATTTGGAATAGAATTATTAAATAGACCTACGAACATACTTAATACAAATCAGTTTGTTAGTCAATCTACAATTGCCAAAATAATGGGTAAATCTTAATTTTCGGTAACGTTAATTGATTTAAATTAGTAATTGGTAGTATTGATAAAAATAAATTTAAATAAAATATAATATGAATAAAAATTTAAGTTCAAATTTTCTTTTTGTTTTTTGTAATTCAAAATAGTAATTTATTGCTTTATATACTTTTAGAAAATGTATTTATCCGATTACAAATTGATGCTTGTACGCTATTATCAAAAAAATTGATGTGTGTGTATATGTATCTATGGATGGATACAATTTTTCGTCCACGTTTTCGGGCGCACGAATCAACCGGATTTGAATGGTTCAAAAAGCATTCGATTCTTATTGATAGGGAGATGTGCTGATTAGTTTTTGGCAAAGGCAGGTCGATCCGTTTCGGAGATACGAAGCAAAGAGTAGAGGAAAATAGAAATCGAGTTCTTTAGAGATCAGAGAATCCGATTTGAATGATCCAAAAACATTGCAATGACGGGGAGAAGTGGTGGTTAGTTTTTTCCAAAGGCAGTTGCAGGGGTTTCGGAAATACAGGGCAAACCGTGCAAAAATTGCAGTGTTTGAGAGAACTATGCATCCGATGTGAATGATTCAAAGAACTTTCTGCTTGTTCTAACAAAATAATTGCTTTTGGGAAAAAAACTGTTTCAATTTTTTTCTTAAATATGTTTTTGTGTATATCGAAAATAATTCAGATTTTAATTGTAAATCTGACTTAAGTTCTAATATTCTTTAAACAAATATTTTCAACTTTGCAATTCAGTTTATATAATTCTTATAAATAACTATTAAACAATATTACGATATTATAATAATCTATTTATGTTTAGAATATATATTTAACATTCCTCGAACATTTCGTTACGGTACGGGAAGTTTCAGCAATTTTCCTTAAGGCGATGCCATACGCACCACTAGTTTGTAAATTCATTTCTCATTTCTAGAAATGTTCATTCTTTATTTTGAACAGTTCAAATCATTTAGAA